CCAGCTCCTCCCACTTCTTATACCAGGATTTCCCAGGTACCCTCAATTCTACCAGCTGTGAGCCGTTCCCCCTGTTGGTAAACTCAGGGGCCCAGATTCAGAGCTTGGCCCCCTCCCTGTTCTCTGACCTCAGTGTGCACCTAGATGGCCCAGATCTTCTGTGGGGTTGTCCTCTACCTGTTCCTGTGTATCTGTGGGATATCAGAGGGAGGTTGGAGAAGAAGGGTCTTGTTTATCTGTGACTCAGACCCACACTTCGGGGGACTTTCTTTTTTCTTTTTTGTCAGTTGTGGGGCCTGGGCACTGTCCCTCAGCTCTTCAGCTCAAGGCTAGCACTCTACTATTTGAGCCATAGCACCATTTCCAGCTTTTTCTGCTTATGTGGTGCTGAGGAATTGAACCCAGGGCCTCATGCATGCAAGGCAAGCACTCTACCACTGAGCCACCTTCCCAGCCCTCAGGGGACTTTGAAGGCCTTACTCCTTACCACACAGCAGCTCTGCCAGCTATGCAAGAGTCGTCCCGGCCCCCCTTGCCAGCATCAGGGTCCCTGTCCCCAACCACCAGGCTACCTGGCCCCACCTGGCTCACCAAGCTGTGGGGCTTACATTCGGAGTAGAAGGTAGAGGCTAAATGAGCACTGTGGGCCTCAGGATGGCTTCTGAACAAAACAGATGATGAGAATGACAACAAAGCTCTAGTGACATTCACTTCATGCACAGACATGAACTACCCTCAGCCCTCAGGCCTGTCCTTCAAGCTGAGCACTGGGCTTCAACACCAAGATAACCTTAGAGATGGCCCAATAAGCCTACAGGACTTCTTGGCCCTATTTTATAGGAAATGAATTCTCAAAAGCCTGGGCTGGCCGTGTGCACTAATCCGACCATTCTCACCACAGGCTCCGGGTCACACCATGGGCAGGCTCTGGTTCTGAGGCCTGGGACTTTGGGAAGCAGGTCCCCACCCTGGGCAGAGCACCTCTGCTGGCACACAGGCGTTTGTGGCTCCTCAATGGCAGGCGAACTCTCATCACTGGCTGGCCGTTATTCGTGGAAAAACTCCTCACAGGGAATCGGGCCATTCATTCCTTTGCTCCTGGGCTCATTTCCAATTCTCTCCCGACTTTCCTCTTCCTCTCCTCTCCTCTCCTCTCCTCTGTCTGTCTATCTCTCTCTCTTTCTCTGGCCTGTGTGCTGAGGTTTCTGGGTGCCAGGCCTTGTGGCAGGCATGGAGATTACAGGAAGGCCAGGGCCAGTGCTGAGGTAGGAAAGCCCACAAGGCACAGTGGACCTGCCGATGGGGTGGCAGGTGGCGCTTACCTGGAATGCAGGGCGATCCTGCCCTCCTGCTCTCAGCCAAGGGGAGGGAATGAGCCCAGGGAGACCTGGGCTCCTATCCCTGAGCCTTCTTCCCCCATGCAAGCTACCTCTGCCCTCTACTGGCCGTCAAGGTGCAGAGACACAACTAGTACCCAAGGTCTCTCCCCCTGGGGCTGCAGATGACCAGGCCTGAGTCTACTTTCCAGCCTCTCCTATAATTGGCTTCCAAAGTGGCCATGTCAGCTGTGGGCCCTTGGGTGACATTCCTCTGGAAGTTTACACATCAAACATCCACAGGACATTGTTTCATGAGGAAAGTTGCTGGATGAGGGATGCGGTGGGAGTCCAGGGCAGCCACCCTCCTGTCCCATGCGGAGTCCCACAATGGCACAGGTATGGGCAGGGCTTTGTGGGAAGCTGCTGAAAGGTCTGAGTTAAAGGCCCCCAAGGGCACTGGGTGCTGGGGATCCTCGCTGCTCGGGAGGCTGAGATCTGAGGATCATGGTTCAAAGCTGGCCTGGACAGGAATGTCCCTGTGAAGCTCTTATCTCCAGTTAACCACCAGAAAACTAGAAGCAGAACTATGAGTCAAAGTGGTAGAGATCAGGAGTAAAAACACGCAGGGACAGCTCCCAGGCCCTGAGTTCAAGTCCTAGGACTGACAAAAGAAAAAGGCCAAGGGCAGGACTACCCTAGACTGCTTGAGCCACATGACCATGGTCCTACTGTGCGGTGAGAGGGCGGCAGGGCATGAGCAGAGGTGTCATGGGGAAACCCTGGGGTTACTCACACCCCCCGTTTGAGCACCTAGCTCTCACCAATGGGGAAGAGGCCATGCTGGGTGAAAGGTGAGGACGCTGCCCCAACTCTTGGGGAGCCAGTGGGCATCTGGGTGTGCTACACCACTGGCCATGGGGCCTGGCCTCTCAGAAACTGTGCAGGGATCCCCACTGATGGTTTGGGATCCAAAGACTTAGGCTACTGATGACCTTTCCTGAAGTTAAAGGCATTCTAAAGACTGTCAGATACGGTTGTCATCCTAGCTACTAGAGGCAGAGGTGGGGAGAATTATGGTCCGAGGCTATCTCAAATAAAAAGTTAGCTAGACCCTCATCTCAACTAACAAGATAGATTGTGGTGGTGTGTGATTGTCACCCCAGCGACCCTGGAGGCTGTGGGTAGGAGGACTGTAGTCTAGGCTGGCCAGGGCAAACGACCCACAAGACTCTATCTGATAAATAATAACCCAAGTAAAAAGGGGCTAGGGACATTGCTCAAGTGGTAAAGCATCTGCCTAGCAAATGTGAGGCCCTAAGTTGAAACCCAGTACTGCAAAACAAACAAAGAACAACAAAACCAGGTCCCCTTACTTTTCTCCTCAAGTCTGAACACAGACTCCTTGCCATCTTGGGAAAGTGAGCTGAAGCAGCCGCCCTGGGCTGACCTGAGGCCTCTAGGGGGCGCTTTTCCTGGGGAGTTTGTCAGACCAGCCGGCCCCTACTTCCTGTTCCATCATGAGCCACTCTGTCAGAGACACAGGGTGGCAACTCTCAGCCTTCCGCCAGGCCAGGAGGAGAAGGGGACTGGTCACATCCCACGTGGGAAGAGGCCCCCCAGCTCAGGCTAGAAGCTTCCCTCACAGCCAATGTTGGGTTGGGGTGGGGGGCAGTGGACAAGCATCAGACTCCTCGCAGCGGGGAGGCTGGGAGATGGTATGGGGGCTTGCATCTCTGGGTCCCCAGGTTTCCCAGGTGAGGCCTCAGCCATGTGGATCAGCAGCCACATGGCTGCTTACAGGTAAAAGCTGTGCCAGGGAGTACGAGCTCCTGGGCCTGGGAGACCAACATGAGGGAGGTGGGAAGCCACTGCCTGTGACTTCAGAGGGCAGCCATTACGAGGGATGGGGCATAGAGCGCTACAGCGGGCCACACACTCCCGTATCCTGGCCTGGTGACACTGGAGCAGCTTAGGTGGCTTCTCTGAACCTGCTCCCTCTCTGGCACTTCCAATTGCTCATGAACCCTGTGAGGTGCAGGCATGAATAGGGATGGGAGGGGGAAGGGGCACAGTTGTGGTCCAAACCCCTGGCCAAGGGTGACCATGTGTCCCATGGCCCCCAGCAAGCTTGCCTGTGGGGTCCCTTCTCCCACAGTGGGGGTCTGGGCAGCTGACTGACAGCTGTGTGTACACAGCCCTTCCAGAAAGGATCTGTTCCTTCAAGATGAGGGGCAGATGCTAGGAAAATCCCAGGGGTGGGACCTTGGGGTCACTGAGTGCTCCCTTCCCTGCCTGAGTGGCTCCTGTCACTCCAGGCTGACTGTTCCCTGAACTAGAACTGCAGACAGGCCTCGGAGGCAACCCCAAGGGGCTTCACTTCTCATGAAACAATTCGTCATGCACTTAGACCAGGAGAGCTGTTTTATGGCTTTGTGAACAGATGAGCCCCTACTGTCTCATGAAAGACGGCGCTAGACCAGAGCCTGCCGTGAACCTCATTATCTTGGGAAAGCCAGACCTTCCTCTCCAAGGTCAAGTAGCTTCTGTCTTGGGTGAGAGGCAGTGCAGGTGGACATGGATGGGTGGCTGGTTACAAACACAGCTACGTCATTAATTGCTTGACATTCTGGGAATGTCAAGTACAGAGACCGGGCGCACAGAAGCTGTAAGGAAGATGGTGGTTCAAGAAAATGAATGGAGGGGGGAAAAATTGGTCAGGCTGTTTTCCGGTAGTCTGGGAAGAACACTTAACGTTTTTGCTTTGTGCTGGTCCTAGGGCTTAAACTCAGGGCTTGAGCACTATCTCTGAGCTTTTGGCTCAAAGTTGGTGCTCTACCACTTGAGTCACATCTCTACTTTTTGATGATTAATTGGAGAAAGGTGTCTCATAGACTTTTCTTGGCTAGGCTGGCTTTGAAATTCAGATCTTGGCCTCCTGAATAGCTACGATTACAGACATGAGCCACCAGCACCTGGCTCAAAGGGTACTTCTGGCTCCCCCTCAGGCCTCAGAGTGAGGATTTCTGAGGCCATGTCTGAGCTTCTAGACCTGAGCATGCCTGGGCAGGTGTAGGTGGCTTGTGGCCCACCAGCCTCCCAGCTGAGTTTTGCATGCCAGGGGTTCAGGCTGGTGATCTGACCCGCTTCCTCTCCCGTCCGTGAGTTTCCTATCCCAGCCTGGCTTTGCTCTAAGTCCTGAGTTTGGAGCTGGACACCAGAATTACCCATTGTTTCCAGCCAGCCTAGGGCCTTCCTGAGCCACACACTGAGTGGATCTTGACTTCAGCTCTGTAGCAACTTCCGTTTTTGCACACTTCCAGACTCCATATGACTAGTGCCTCTGGCCTGGGTGCCTTCTCTGGCTGGGTGGCTGTCCCAACAAGGACACTGTGGTCAGACCCATGTCTGGAGAGTGACAGTCTGGGGAACACTCAGGCAGACGGAGAAAAGGGTCCAAAAGTAATCAAATGCTATACTCAACAGCACGGAGACACTTCCCCACTCCCAGTTACAGCAAGGCAGCTTCCAGAACCCAGGGAAGGCAGCCCACTCCCATGGCTGTGCCTGCCAGGTTCCAGACCTGATCTGTCTGCTGTCATGCTGGCATGATCCTGGGCAAGCCCAGTTGCAAAACTCTTCTGGCCCAGTCCCCACCCCACCACCAGGGGGAGCACGACTCACGTTGATCATAGCATTCGACGTGATGCGGAAGAGGGTGGCCCGCTCGTTCACCACCTTCAGTTTCTCGCTGCTGTCCGATGGGATCTTCAGGCTGTCCAGCTCATTCAGGGAGCGCTGGAGTGCGGCGCCATGCTTGGCAATGAGGTCATTGCACGTGCTGAGGTCATCTAACTTCAAGGAGAGGTTCTTAAGAGTGTGGTGGAGCTCGTTCTTGTCAGCTGGGGAGGCAGGCTCTTCGTCGTCGTCCCCAGAGTCATCTGTGAAGAGGAAGGAGAGTTGCTGGGACTTGAAGGCGTAGCTTGAGGGGCAGAGAGCCTGCCTGGCAAGCCTGAGGCTCTGAGTTCAAACCCTGGTACTGCCAAGAAAGAATTGAAGTGATTTGTTTCCAACCAGTGTGGTATGCGATGGCCCTGCCTGGATGTGGAGAGTAGCCACTTGAAATGGTGAGTTCTATTCATGGTGCTGGATGCATGAAGACATCTCAGGTATAGCAGTGCACCTGCCTAGCCCTGGCTGGCGCAGGCCCAGTTGAGTCGATGGGAGGAGACATAAGGCAGAATGACAGAGCTTGGATTGGGCTGCTTTGTCTGTAGGGAAGTCACAGCCTGTAGGCAAAGGAGGGTGGAACTGGGTAGAGAGGTGAAGGATTTCTCAGTGGGCACAGACACCCCGAGAAGAGAGCCAGGGCTCCTCTCCTGACCTTGCAGGCCTATGTAGACTGACTGACCTCTTCCTGGCCAAACCCACTCAATATCTGGTCTCTTCTCCCTTCCCACAACCCCATCAACTAATCCTGTTATGGGCACACAGACACTTGAGTGTGTCATTGCTTAGGGACTTGCCCATTGGGTCCCCACAGCCTAGAACTTGCTCTCAATGGCTCAGCCCATTCATCCATGTGAGGCCCAGGGGCAATGCCAGCCCCGTCTCCTGAGTCTGCCTGCAACACCCTCAGGCCTAGTTATATCCTTTATCTCCCTCCAGCCAGCCTACACCCATGCAGAACCTGGTGTTGTGTGTGCAGACAATGGATGGGGGTTGGGGACTAATGAAGTAGCTGACATCCTGAGAGGGAGCATCATGCCCAGGCTGCCCAGGTTGCTGGCCCAGGCTCTCCCTTCCCCATTCTCTACTTCTAGCTCTCACACTGTGGCCCAGGTATCCTCAGTGCTCCCTGTCCTGCCAGCCCAGCCTGGGTTCCCGGGGCAGAGAACACGGGGGGGGGGGGGGGGGGGCGGGCCTCTGCAGGCAGGTGGCCTGGCCCAGCTGCTGCTTTAGTGCTGGGTGCCTGTCAATCCTGGAGCCCTGTGTTTGCCAAGGGGTTTCTGAAATGCCTCATTTCAGACAAAGAAAATCTCCAAGACTTAAAAAAAAATTTTTTTAGATGAATAAAATCTGTAACCCAACATATAAAATTAAAAGAAGGAAGAAAAAAAAAAGAATACATATTTTGAGAGAACAGCTTTCTTCCCACGGCAAGCAAGGTGCGTGGGGGTGGGACGCAGCTGATTTTCTGCTCCCAGTGTCCCTGAGCGCATGGCAGGCCATGGCAGGGCTGGGTCAGCCAGCTGTGTGGGGACCGAGGGAGGGGGAGCCGGGTGTGTGTGGGGGGGGTGTGTGTGAACTGCACACTTTGTCTCTGCTGGCCACAGAGCCTTGGACCAGCACCCAGGCTAAGGGCAGAGACCCTCCCTCTGGGCCAGCCCATCTGCAGCTCCAGAGTGCCCAGTATCTGGAAAACACATGCTGGGCCACCGTTTTCACTAACTGGAGCTCTGAGTCTCCCAGTGGAGGCTTGGACAGGGGCTCTTCCTCCCTTCCTGAGAAGGAAGGAGACAAGCAGGCTCCAAGGATTGGCACTGAATTGCCCAGGGCCATCAGGCAAGGGGATTCTGGAACAGCTTGGTCTGTCTGGCATCAGAACTTAGATTCTGATCATCTTTATAAATTCTCTCCCTAGTGTAACAACCCGACTGAGCAGCCAATAACTAGACATAATGGCCACCAACTGGACATCAAGAAGGCCCTGCAAGGACATACAGATTGCAGATGACCCGCAATATGATCCCCAGTCCTCTGAGCAAAGCAGAGGGAGGGTGACATACAAAACCCCAGACAAGGAAGATAAGACTTAAGAGTCACTCTGGGCCTGTGCAGGAAGTGGCCTCTTTGGTTCCCTAACTCAGAGCTCAGGTGGCCTGGGTCACTTCTTCCTGAGGAGGAGCTGGGCTTTGTTCCTGATCTTAGAGTTAGCTTATTCTCTGGGTTTCTCCTTTGCTAATATCTGGTGCTCCAGCTGGGTGCTGGTGGCTCAAACCTGTAACCCTAGCTACTAACAAGGCTGATACTTGAAAGATCATGGGTCTAAGCCAATCTGGGTAGGAAAGTCTGTGAAACTCTTATCTCCAAGTAACCAGCAAAAAGCTGGAAGTATAACTATGGCTCAAGTGGTAGAGCATTAGCTTGGAGAGAGAAAAAAATAAAAGCTCAGGGACAGTGTCAAGACCCTGAGTTCAAGTCCCAGGACTGGCATCAAAACAAACAAATGAATGTAGAAAACATCATTTGGTCCTGCTGTCTCTGTTTAGAGCAACCAGGGGCATTTGCAGATTTCTCTGGCCTTCTAAGAAGGAAGTCATTCTAAGGGAGGAGAGCCAGCCAGCCAGGGGCACACGTCCTGTTACAGAGGTGATAGCCAGAGCACCTGGAATTCCAGCATGGCTGCAAGCTCCTTCCCCCTCCTCTACCACTGCCTTCTCCCATTCTGTCAGTTACTGTCAAGCCCAAGCAAGGCAGCAAGAGATATCCCGGTGAATCCTGAGCTATCGGTGACCCTCGTTCATGAATGTCCAAGTCAACCCTGAGAGTGCAGTCCAGGCCATGAACAGGACATGTCAGGTCAGGTCTGGTCCATCTAGGTCCAAGCCTTTGTTTTCAGATGCATAAACTGAGACCCCGGATCAAGCAGAAGGGTTGAGCAGAGGGCAGGGGCCAAAGTAACGATCACCAATCTCCGGCTGGAGCCCCTATCCGAATAGAAAAGACTAGTCTTTGAAGGCTAGATCCTCCGACATCCCGCAGGCTTCCCTGGCAGGAGAGAAGAGGACACGCAGCTTGGGCACTGCTCCTATCAGAGCCACCCTGTGGTGGGTTGCTGGCCTTTGATCACCTGCTGTGCCCCAACAGGGAGCCCACAGAGGTTGCCAGCACTGTGAGGGCCCAGGTCTGTAGCAGCAAAGGACGCTGCTCACTTTCCTTCTCTGCAGAGGAAGGCAGGGGTGAGCAGGTGCTGGGCAGCAGCTCAGAGGAGGGGCCAGGCAGAGGGACACAAAGTGCACCTGGCACCTGCTCTCCACCGGGTGGGGGGAGGGGTCTTTGGCCTATCCTTCCTGTCCAGTTTCATGCCTGGTTGGCCTGAGGCATTAAACTCCAAGAAGGGAAAGAGAGCAGGGTGCCAGTGACTCATGCCTTAATCCTAGCTGACTTAGGAGGCTGAGATCTGAGGATCATGATTGAAAGCCAGCTGAAGCAGGAAAGTCTGTGAGACTCATCAACAGTTAACCACCAAAACTCTGGAAAGTGGAGCTATGAATCAGGTGGTAGAGTGCCAACCTTGAACACAAAAGCTCAGTACCCAGGCCCTCAGTTCAAGCCCCAAGACTGGCATTAAAAAAGAAGGAAGGAAGGAGGTAGAGGTCCTGGTCTTCCCTGCTAGGCAAAGGAGGCTTCAGCACCTTCCAAGACCAATGACTCCTCCCTGATGGTAGGGAGTTGGGCCTGCACCCCACTGTGCTTCCCCCTTTATATGGTATTCTTGAACCTACCCCACCAAAGTGACAAAGACACCAGGCTGTGGAGTGCAGAGGGAACAAGGGATTTGTCTCTGAGCCAGTCACAGAGCCTGGAAATGAGGCTCCTCTCTTGGATGCTGGAGCAAATGACTATGAAAGACACCTTCCCTCCTATTCAAACATGAGAACACCAATTCCTAAGATACCTATCAGCTTTAACCAGTCACATGGGAGAATGAATTTTTTTTGTTAAAAGAGAATCAATTAGCTAGGCGTGGTGGTGCATGGCTGTAATGCCAGCTACTTAAGAAGATCAGGAGAATCACAATTCGAAGCCAGCCCAAAAAGTTAATGAGATTGGAAAAGGCAAGGGAAGGGGTTGACCTTGTCCAAAAAGAAATGTACTGTACTTGATTTATGTAATGGTAAGCCCTCTGAACATCACCTTTATAACAACAGTAACAATTTTTTTAAAAAAGCTAATGAGATTTTTCTCAACCAATAAGCTAGGTTGGGTGGTATATGCCTGTGATCCCAGTTACCCAGAAGGATTGTGATCCAAGGCCCTGAGTTCTGGGGTTTGAACAAAAAGAAGATAAATCCAGAAAACCAAGGCAGTGGTCACAACTTCTCTGTCATCTTGGTGGGGCCAATAAAGGGTGGCGTCCTTGTCCATGGGAGTGGGAGTTCCCAATGTTTAGTGGCTGTCCCCCACCCCAAATGTATGCCTTGTCCTGGAACTTCAGAACTTGACTTACTTGGAGGCATGGATGCAGATTTGTTGGGGGCTGTCAGTACGGTTTGTTTTGGCACACTTCCCAAGGGGTGGTCCTGGGACCCCTTTCTGGACACAGACACCACTTAACTCTCAAGTCTCTCAGGCTCCCCTAAACGCCTGACACACATACCACCCTAGTTGGCCCTCTACAGGGAGAAAATGGCCTGCAGCACAGTTGGAGCCAAGTGTTTCTGCACCCAGGCTCTCACGATCTGGGCTCAGCATCCCAATTCTTACTGGGTATTGGGGGCATGCTAAGTATCCAATGTATGACCAGCACAGTGTTGAGATCCCATACCTACCAATGCCTTAGGGCTCACCAAACCCTCTGCCTCTCACCCAGCTCAGCACAGAAACCCCCTTAAACCGACTTCACATTAGAGACCAACACCAGAGAGAGCTCTCTGTTCTCTGTGACACCCTCTTCCTCCTCAGCGTCTTTCTTAGCAGGATCTGGTTTAGGAGCCCCTGGGCATCTCCACCAGGTTCAGGACCCTCTTTCTCCAAGTCTCTTAGGAAAGACAGGTTGCTGTGGCAACTGTGGTGCCAGGTGGGCTATTTTTAGAAGTGGAGCTTTCTTTCATCTTTGAAGAAAAATGAATTGAGGGGAAGCCCTATTTGGGAAAGAGGTGGGGAGGAGAGGGGAAAACTCTGGGAATTTAAGAAACGAAAAGGAAGGGAGGTGATT